TATTATCTTCTTAATAACGTTACTATTAAGAATATCTACTCTTTATTATCTTAAATCTAGAACTATCTTAATACTATTAAGATCGCTTACTAGCTCTCGAAGGCTAATCTTATCTAGAGATATTACTAGATCTAGATAAGAAAGATATTTATTAAAAAAACCGCCTTTAATATACGATCCGATAAGTATAAGTTCTTAACTATATTATTCGAACTTACTAACGCTTCTTCGATATTCTAAAGAATTATAAACGACGCTCTATAAGAATTTATTAGTAAGTTTATAATCGTCTACTTAGATAATATCGTTATCTACTTATAGACTAAAGAAGATTACAAACGCTATCTTAAACTAATATTTAAAGTACTATATAATTATAAACTATACGCGAAGTCGTTAAAGTATATTATTAGCGTTCGATAGCTTAAATTCTATAAATATATAGTAAATAATAAGAAATACTAACCTATATCTATAAAGATATAAGCTATTCTTAAATAGCCTTAGTCTCGAAATATATATAAAGTATACTAGTTTTTAGATTTAGCTTTATACTATAGAAGATTTATTAAAGACTTTATAAAGATTACTATATCTTTATCCGACTTATTAATTAAAGCGAATATTAAACTTCGAAAAAAGAAGTTTTAACCTATTTAATAGAATACGAGATACGAATATATCTTTTAGATATTTAAGAAGATCTTCGCTACTAAGCTAGTTTTATAGTAAGTTAATAAATCGAAGTCTTTTCGTATAGAGATAGACTATTCCGAATAGGCTTTAGATTATATTCTTCTATAAGAAGAACCTAATAGAAAGTAGTATCTAGTCGTCTATAATAGGCGAAAACTTAATAGAGCTAAGTTAAACTACTTTATATATAAAAAGGAACTTCTCGCTATTAATTATACTCTTTAAATCTAGATTATATATCTCTAGAATAGATATAAAACGATCGTTATAATCGATTATAAGAGTCTAAAATACCTAAATACTACTTAAATACCTTCGAAGCGCTTTATATACTAGATCGACGAATTTTCTAAGTTCGACTTAAATATTTAATACCGTAAGGTTTCCGAAGTCGTTATTCTTAATACTATCTTTAGATAACTTAATTTCCTAGAAAAAAGCTCTACTAATAAAGTATAGATCTCTAGTAGTATAGAAGTATTTCTAAACGCCTAATAAATTATATATCTAGACGATAATATAGAATAGAAGAATACTATTATAGCTTAATTAACTAAAAAGAATAAATTCGACTTAAATCTAGTCTAGAAGAAGTAGCTAGCGCGTATTAAGAATCTAGATTAATACTTTATAGAAGAAGACTATCTATTCTAAAAGGTTAGTAATTACTTCGCTCTCTTTATTTCTATATCTAGGCTGCGCAGTGGCGCGGGTTAGCCCTACCCTACCCGCGTTAGGGCTACCCTAAGGGTTGGGCCGGGTAGGCACTCCGTAACCCAACGGGTGCCGCGAGCGAGTTCCTAAAATTTAAGCCCTACCCGTAGTATCTATTTAGATTAAGTAGCCCGTTCGAGTAGATAGTTTAATAGAGAAATACCGATAATATTATAGCTTAATATATATAGAAAAGTAATAGCTTATATACTAACTAGAAAATATACTAGTATAAGAGAAATCTATTCTATAGATAGAATTAATATAGTAATTATTATTATACTCTAGTTACTACCTTCTCGAAATAGTACGAAAATATAAATATAAGCTATTATAGAGAAATACGATTAAAGATATAATCGTAAGAGT